AAATACTGCGTGTATTTGTGTTCTTGTCACATGCTCTAGGACGTTCTGGTGAAAGTTGTTAGCTCAGGTCCTCCCTCACTATGGGGAGTGTAGTAATAAGGGTGGCGGCGGGGCTGCGTCCCCAACACCCCAGCCGCCTGCCCGGCTAGCTTATGCCCCGAAATAATTACACGGACACTGTATTCTTTTAAACACTGTTTGGTCCATCCTCTTCTAGGCTAATTCTCACATACTAATTTAGCCCATTTCTAATCATCTGTGTGTAGCACCCCAAGGTGCGCTTACCAGGGAGATTCTAGCCTAGTCCATCCTGGGTCGGAGCTTCATGGCATGTGTCTGCCTGGGAGTGGGGCATGGCGTCTCTGCTGAGGCATCTACTCCTGAGAGCCGAGCTGTCGCGACTCTGACCTCACTTCCTCTTCCTCCCAGCGTTCTGTTCTGTCTACTCCTCCCACCTATCCTCTAACCAATAAAATGGGCCAGGGCAGTTCCTTTATTAGCCAATGACCTTCCTCCATCAGGGGAGTATGAGGGTGCTCTTATAATTTTTCTGGAATTTAATCTCTGTCCCTTACCCTGCCCAGCCCTTCCAGGTTAGATGAGTGGGTCGGAAGACTCCACCTTCTACCTTATAATTATTGAGTCTTTGTGGTAACTTAGCCTTCCCTGAAGTTATCCTTGTATGGTCCCTCAATGCACAGCTATGAACTTAGATGTGATCCAAGTGGGGTCATTACAGGTAAGAACATTCCTATCGTTCAGGGGACTCTGTAACTGGGACAAGGATATATTCATGATACAAGCGGTCGCCCAGTATTATAAATGACCAGACCTTTCCACAGATTAATAACACGGAGTAGGAATAAGGCTCTTACGGTACAGAGTCAGTTTCAACAATTAGTTCACTATCAGGCTGGACAAGAGACCTCGTGGCACAGCCTTGGCCCAGGACACTTCTGTGCATCAGCATTCCCTTTCCCAGGCCATCCAGTCATATCTGCTGCCAGATACCTAGATGCCAGTTGCTAGATGGTGGATCCTCTAGTCCTTGTGTTCAACCCACATAGGTGTGCTAAATGAAGGTTGCTTTCTACTTGGGCTATCCCACTTAGGGCTATATCCTTTGTGCTCGAGCCCTCATTGTTAGCCCCATCCTTTCACCATCCTCCTGTGGCCTTCTTCACTGTCTGCCCAGTGGGTACCCCTGCGTTAAACGCAGGGCGTGATAAAACAAGCATGCACAAGGCCCTGTGTTTGGTCTGCTGAGCCCACCAACATACACACACAGAGAGGAAGGAAGGAAGGAGGATGGGAGGGAGTGAGGAAGGAAGGGAGGGAGGGAAGAAGGAGGGAGGAAAGAAAGGAAGGAAGGAAGGAAGGAAGGAAGGAAGGAAGGAAGGAATCAGAGCTGGGCCAGGTAGTGAATGCCTGTAATTGCAGCACTTATGAAGGAGAAGCAAGATTAAGAAATCTACCCCTACACACCAAGTACACACACACACACACACACACACACTTGTCTTTTGTGACAACATGTATAAATCTAGACAACATTATATTAAGTGAACTAAGTCTAGCACAGAAATGGTTCAGAGGAGAGGTCCTGAGTTCAATTCCCAGCAACCACATGATGGTTCACAACCATCTATACTGAGACCTGGTGCCCTCTTCTGGCCTGAAGTCATACATGCAGTCATACATATACATAATAAAAGGGTGATCTGAGGAGCAGACTAGAACAATGGTTACTGAGTGACTTAGGATTTCTATTGCTGGGAAATCACCACGACCATGGCAACTATTATAAAGGAAAGCCCTTAATTGGGTGGTGTATAGTTTCAGAGATTTAGTCCATTATCATCATGGCGGGACATGGTGGTGTGCAGGCAGACATGGTGCTAGAGAAGAAGTTGAGAATCCTACATCTTGCAGGCAACAGGAAGTGGTTTGCCTAACCGGGTGTGGCTTATGTGTGTGTGAGACCTCAAAGTTTGCCTCTGTAGTGATACACTTCCTCCAACAATGCCAAATCTCTAATAGTGCCACTTCCTTTGGGGACCGTTTCCCGCAAACCACCACACTCAGAGACACAGAAAATGTTGAAAAATGTTAGTGAAAGGACACAGATTTTTAAAGGAACAGTTCAGGACATCTGTTAAACAACACAGCCTGGGACTAATGACAAAGACAAGTATATCAACTTGATTTAGCTGTGCCCCAGTGTTTATAGATTTCAAAACACTGTTTTATATAATACATACAATTATATTTGTCAACAACTTAAAAATTTTTTTAATATTTATTTATTATATACAATATTCTGGTGCCGGAAGAGGGCACCAGACCTCTTTACAGATGGTTGTGAGCCACCATGTGGTTGCTGGGAATTGAACTCAGGACTTTTGGAAGAGCAGGCAATGCTCTTAACCACTGAGCCATCTCTCCAGCCCCACAACTTAAAATTTTTGAGCAAAATAAAAAGTGTAAAATAGTGTGCTGGCTGATTTTATGCCAACCTGACACAAACTAGTGCCCTCTGAGAGAAGGGAACCGCAACCAGAATTCTGGGAGGAAGAAGGCAGTGTGGCAGACGCCATAAAGCTCCTGTCTGAGACTGCCACTGCCGCTGGTTAGAATCTTTCCTGGTAAGCCACGACCTCGTGGTGATACACAAATTGGCAGAAATAGATTAGATCAGGATGTGAGAGTTGGCCAAGAAGAGGCTAGATATAGTGGGCCAGGCAGTAATTCAATTAATACAATTTCTGTGTGGTTATTTCAGTGGTTAAGCTAGCCAGGCGGCGGGACGCGGCCGGCTCCTCCTGACAACACAGAAATGAGCCTAAGCTAGACTAATAACTAATAATAAATCTCTATGTGATGGTTTGGGAACTTGGCAGCAGTCCAATAGAAAAAGCCTGATATACATGATAAACTACTATCCACATGTAGTTTGTAACTTTCCATCCAGCCCATTTCTGGAAAATTATACTCATCTTGAACCTTTTAAACTCAACTAAGTTGTGGTAAGTAAAGTGGTTACTGTTATAATGTGGTATTTAAACAAACAAACAAACAATGCTTTTTCAGTTGTCTTTGAGAATAAACGGAAAATCTTCAGATGCACTATTTTAGTGTAGCATCTTGTCTACTGTATTTTGTAAACACGGGAGGAAGTTTGACCGACTGGATATAGAGCTAGAATGTAACTCTGCTTACAAACATTGCTATTTAGCTCCTGCTTAGGGTGTTCTAATTGTCTGTGAGCACATTAAAAGCAAAAAGCAGATGCAAATATGATGTGGGAAAGATCGGGGTCAAGGAGATCACAGGACACCAAAATGAAGAACAGCAAAGGACTCAGCTTCTTTGGGAAGCAGGGCGCAGAGTCTTTATTCTTAGCCATCTTATACTGTCACAGCTCTGATCACAAAATACATACTGTGTAAGACAGTAACCTGGAACATTTGTTTTTCTCTTCCTGGACAAAGAGTAGCTTTTCTTATGTTACTAATTTGTAGGAGGCTGCTTGTTCATTTCCTGGCCACCCAGACCCAAAATAATCACACAGAAATTTATTAATTGCAACACTGCTTGGCCAATGACTCTAGTATATTCCTAGCTTGCTCTTACATCTTAAATTAAACCATTTCTATTATAGTTTACCACGAGGCTTGTGATTTACCAGTAAGGTTCCAGCGGGCTACTTAGGTGACTACATAACATTGTCCTGACTCTGCCTTCTTTTTCCCTCTGTCTCGGCTTGGAATTCCCGCCTTTGCTCTATTCTGTGCTGCCATAGGCCCAAAGCAGTTTCTTTATTAACCAATGGTAATAAAACATATTCACAGCATACAGAGGGGAGTCCAACATCACTAAGTGAGCCTTTTCCCAGTGTGAAGAACATGACCTCTGGCCAAAGAAATCCTTGTTGGAGTGTGAGGGCAGTTTTCTACCAAAACTCTGCAAACATCCTCTTGTTTTCAAGGTACATCTGGCAAGTACATTGTCCTGGCTGATATCAGTTTGGCAAGTCTCCTTCAAAAATGTGGGGATATAATCAATTGAAAGGAAGTTTAATTAGGATTATGTGCTATTCCAATCTATGACTATATCAAAGTTCAATATATAGTCCCTCTCTGGCTATGTTCTGTTGCTTAACAAAATACACAAATTAGGCACTTTATTTTTATTTTTTTTTTAAGGAATTTCTGTGCATCCACAGTTCTGGAGAGTCAAGATCATGACATCAGCATTGGGATGTGTTGTAGTGAGCCTCGTGATGGATGGAATCACAGCAACAGGAAGCGCATGCAAAAGAGGTAAGCAGTGGGTGTGGAAACGTGGGAGTCATCAAGCTCACAACAGGAAAGTAACTCAGTCCAGTGAGCCTTGCCCACTCTACCAGTGCAGCATTGGTGAAGCCCAGTGGCCTAATTATGTCCAGCACGTCCACGTCCACTCCAGTTCTATCACCTCACTATCCCTAAGCTATACCAGTCTTTGAGGGGCAAATTGATAGCAGTTGACAGATCCATTTTTTGTTGTTGTTGTTTACAATGCTCATATCTGTAACAATCTAGGATCTGCCTACTAAGAATGGGGCCACCCACAGTGGGCTAGGCCCTCCCAAATCAATCATATAGAAAGACAGTCTCTCTTATAGTGGTAGCCAGAAGCCCTGAGGACCCCAAGCAGCAGGGTTCCTCGGGGCTGGAAGGTGTTCCAGGTTGTGATTGGTGTCTGTACAGTCAAAAGTGACAGACCAGCCCCGTGCCTGGAGAGCTCCTCCGGTGTGAACCGCGCCGCTAACGATCCACCCACACACCAAAGACGAAGCCATAAAATGCTCTAGCCCATCCCGCGCACGCGCACCTTCTACAAAATTTATACTGTCCGACTCTCGCGTAATCTCTCGGCCGCACAGGCTCTCGAGGCGCTTCGAGAGAGTCAGGTGACCCCGCGACCCCGCCCCACGGCTTCCCTGCCGGCCTCGCGCATGCGCGGTGCGGCCGAGGCGGCTCGCGCGCGGCTTGAGCAGCCGAAGCGATGGGGTTGAGTCGGGTGCGCGCGGTCTTCTTTGACCTGGACAACACGCTCATCGACACGGCCGAGGCGAGCCGGAGAGGCATGATGGAGGTAACGTCCCCGCGCCGTCGTCCTCCCCGGCCGGGCCAACACTCCGCGGTCGGCTCCGCACCCGCAGGTCCCCCGCTGCTCGTCCCTGGAGCTGCTCTTCCTTCCCGCGCGCGCGGGGCGGGGTGCTGGACTCTGAACTGCCACGACTGCAGAGTCGCCGCCACCTGCGGCCACCCGGGCTCGGACGGCCTTGGACGACACTGCGTGCCCTCCTCTTGCTGCAGTCCCCCGCGGGAGGGGCTGCGGTGGGTTGCGGGGAAAGAGGCTCAGACAAGGTTTTGGCCCAAGGAAGTTACATAACTCTGAGAGGCGGGCCTGGACTTAACCTACAGCAGTCATTTTTTCCCCCTCCGCACGCTTCAGTCTGGCTGGCAGGGTGTTGAGACCCCTGGGACGTAAAATGCTGAGTGGGCATTCTTTTAGTACGGCGTTGCTGATCCGCATCCTTCTTGCTGTAGCTGCAGATGCTGTCGGACACCTTCTTTGTCTTCTTCAGTCCTTAACCCACCTCTACTTTCCTTCCTCTGCCTTCAGCTTCAACAAGAAAGTGAAGGAGTACCAGATGTGGAAAACACACTTATAAAAGTGTGTTTCAATATAAGGGTCCTATGCTTCATCAGGTAGTTTTCGTTTATCCAGATCATAAACTTTCCCCATTTTTTCTTGCCACATTTCACACATGCAATTCATGTCTGTCTCATACTTTAATTTTTATTTTTTTTTTAATTTTTGCACACCCTCCCTCTTGGTCTGTGCTTTTGTGCACAGCTGTGTTTTTAGAAAAATCTACGTGCCTTATCTCCATCAGGGCTCTCCCCTGTGTATTTCCAAATCCGTTGGCAGGTAGCTTTTGTCTCCACCACTTGAGTACAATAGGCTTGTGAAGTGGTTAGATTACCCCCAAAGTGCCAGCGTCGCTAGGTATTTGGAATTGGTTTTGGGGGTGTGTGTGCGTGTGTCTACGTGTACGCGCACACTTCCTTGGTGCTGAGGTTTGAACCTAGCTCTTGCCGTCCTAAACAAGAGTTTTCCACGGAGCTGCTTCTCCCCACATTTGGAATCAGTCTTTAAGGAAGCTTTCCACACTGTTGGTTGTCTCTTGTATTCTGACACTCTCTCCATTATCTCTACCTGCAGACAGTCAATGCTTAACCCAAATTCTTACCCAGCTAAGCCCAGTGTTTGGAAACTCAGTTTTTGTTTTAAGCCATTGCTGGTTACAGGCTTCGGAAACCTCACATGGAGTTTAAATCACAGTTCTCCCGGTACCAAGTGCCTCCATAGGTCCCCTGTCTATGCTTAACTCAGATCCCCGTAGAGTGTGAGTGTTAGTCTGTGTTAAATGTCAGGTGGTTTCAATACAATGCATGAGAAGAATGTAGCACCCAGTGCTCGCACAGTGAACTATGCCCTCATCCACTCTTGTCTCTCAGACCCCCTTACCTGCCTTAATTGCAGAAACGCTTGACCTCTATAGAATTGTACTGTGATCTTGTCTCCCACTGACTACATCCAATTCACCCTCCACATTCCTCCACATTCCTGCCTTGGTGAGCTTTGTTTTTTTTTTTTTTTAAACAAAAATTTACGTGGGAGACTAAGGCAAGAACATCACCTGAGCTCCAGAATTTGAGATCAATCTAGGCAACACAGTGAGACTCCTATCTCAAAGCAACACCACCAACCCGCTGTATTTCTCTACAGTGGTGACGCCATGCTCTTTTCTTATGCTATGTCTTATTGCACCCGTCAGAGGATGTTATCATGAATTGTTGCAACTCGTGTGCCTGTGGCTGACTCCTGAGTTTTCTGAAAGGGAATGTGCTGTCTGAATTGTCTTTGTTTGACATGAATTAAATGCTGAATGAATAGTGAGTGGTGGACAAGAGTTCAAATCTCCAGTCTTTGTTCTTTTATTTATAAATGGTCTATGAAATTAGCACAGTTAAATGTTGTAAAGACTTTATCTTATAAGGTTGCAACAGTCCTTATAAATTTTTATACTATCCCAAAGTAATATGCCAGCTGTCATAAGCCATTCCGAATGTTTTTTGATGGTGGTGCAGGAAAGGCCCTTGTTCTGCTGTCAAGCACCACTCCCAGCCACCATAGCACAATGCCTTGCTCTCGCTTCTGAAGATAAATATTTGCCATGGTATGGCTGACTTTTGAAGCAGGTCATTCAGTATAGGTAGTTGGTTTGTAGGGTGTGGGAGATAAGGGTGGGGGTGGCTATCATGAAGTATATCAGTGATCAGGTGGCTGCTGGCATGAGACATCATTCCGGAATGACGCTGTGAAGCCTGCCTCCGTTGTCACAGGAAGCAGTGAAGGTGTGGTGTTTATCCAGTCTGCCTCTTGTTGGTTGAATACTGCACTTAGGGCAACACTTGAGCCCCAGTCTGCATGCTGGATGCCTATGTGGGGAAAGTGGGTGAGAAAAGGATTTGGGCAACATCTGTTCAAGGGCCCTCCAGCATATCCTTGTCTCCTATGCCTTCCGTTTTGGCTCAAGCGGCTTGCCCCATTGGGGTCAGAAATCCATGCCCTTGTTGCTTCTCTGTGGAATGAATTAAGCTCCCCTTGTCCATGTTACCTACCTGTCAACTCTTGTTTTAGGGATGACTTTTGCCAAGCCTTATTTAGCTGTTCTTAAGGATGAATTCAGGGACCAGGTGGTAGTGGCACATGCTTTTAATCCTAACGTTGGGGAAGCAGGAGCATGTAAACGGAAGTTTCTCTCCCGCCTGGTCCCACAGCTGTTTAGTATCGGTGAAACACACAGAGGCTTATATTAATTATAAACTGTTTGGCCTTTTAGCTCAGGCTTATTGTTAACTAGCTATTACAATTTAAATTAACCCATAATTGTTATATATGTTTAGCCGCATAGCTTGGTACCTTTTCTCAGTAAGGCATTCTCATCTTGCTTCCTCTGCATATGGCTGGTGACTGACTCTCTGCCTTTCCCCTTTGCAGAATTCTTAGTCTGGTTGCCCCACCTATACTTCCTGCCTAGCTACTGGTCAGTCAGCGTTTTATTAAACTAATATGAGTGACAAATCATTACAGTGTACAAGAGCATTATCCTACAGCAGAAACAGGTGAATCTCTGAGTTCAAGGCCAGCCTGGTCTACAGAGCTAATTCCAGGACACACAAACCCTGTCTTGAAAAACAAAAAAACAAAACAAAAATTCAGTTTTATTTCCATAGTCCTTGTCCGTTTAACTGCTGGTGGCACTCTAACCAGCATTAATCAACAAGTTGTCTGTCTGCTTCCTTTTTCTGTGGTGATGCTCCAAAGACAAGGGGTCAGTACATACTATCAGGCCAGCATGTCTTCAGTGGAAGCAGGCAAGTATGGATTCAGATCCCAACTCAGGAAAATTTTTTAGCAATTCTAAGGTTTTCAAGACGCTGCCTTGTCTTGAAGAGGAAATTGTAGAGTTATAGCAAATGTTAAGAAGGTGTGTACTAATTTAGCCATAAAGCTAGCCACATTTCAGTCTTCAGTAAATGTTAAGATAGACAATAGGGCTGGGGCTGTAGCTTGGTGGTGTGGTATACCTAATGTAGACAAGGCCCTTGGTTCCATTCCCAGTACTTGTGAGTGCGCGCGCGTGCGTGTGATAGTAGTGCTTTTCAGAAGTTATTAAAATGTTCCACTAGATTTAAGCAAAATTCTTATTTTTGTGCCTTCATGACCAGTGTGAAACCTGGTAGCCTACTGAACCAGTGAAATCTTGTTTTTTGCTTTATGTGAAGAATCATCATAAAACAGATGCTGATTTTTAAACATGGGAATGAGAGGCAGAGAGGGACGCAGGGTGGAGGTGGGGGACAGACAGATGATATGTGTATATGATTGGTTGTCTCTGGGGGTGGAGAGTTCTAAATTTGGTATCTCCGAAACTAAGGCCAGTTCCCTCGAGAGAAGGTGTGGTAGTGGGAAGAAGTCTCTGCTTCAAGACACGGCTGCTAAAGACAAGATATGCTGACCAAGTTATCTTCTTCTGCCTAGGTGATAAAGCTCTTACAGTCAAAATACCACTACAGAGAAGAGGCGAAAGTCATCTGCGATAAAGTTCAAGTTAAACTCAGCAAGGAATGCTTTCATCCTTACAGTACCTGCATTACAGATGTGAGGACTGCACACTGGGAAGAAGCCATCCAGGAGACCAAAGGTGGTGCTAACCATAGGAAATTGGCAGAAGAATGTTATTTCCTGTGGAAATCTACGCGTTTACAGCATATGACCCTAGCAGAAGACGTCAAAGCCATGCTCGCTGAACTTCGCAAAGAGGTCCGCCTACTCTTATTAACAAACGGTGACAGACAGACCCAGAGGGAGAAGATCGAGGCTTGCGCTTGCCAGTCTTATTTTGATGCTATTGTTGTAGGAGGAGAGCAGAAAGAGGAGAAACCAGCACCTTCCATATTTTATCACTGCTGTGATCTCCTTGGAGTGCAGCCAGGGGACTGTGTGATGGTTGGCGACACACTAGAAACCGATATACAAGGAGGCCTCAACGCAGGACTGAAAGCCACAGTCTGGATAAACAAGAGTGGGAGGGTGCCGCTGACTTCATCCCCCATGCCTCACTACATGGTTTCCTCCGTGCTGGAGTTACCTGCTCTCTTACAAAGCATAGATTGCAAAGTCAGCATGTCTGTGTAACACACAGAAGAACACAGCAACCAAGTGCAGAGCCACTTACAGGGTTAGAACTAATGAACACCAAGGCATTCTGTGTTTGGTTCAGTTCTAAGAGTGTGAGTGAGGGATTCACTGCCATGTTGTGAAGAGCCTCCCACCCTGCTGCTGTTGATAGCCATAGGCTGTTTTCATATCTGAGATCCAGGTTTTTTGTGTAGTCCAGAAAACTTGAAGAAGGCAGGGTAGCTTACATGTGGATGTGCATGTACTGGTTTATAGCATAGATATTTTTTTTAAAAAATAGATATTCTAAAATAGAGATTCAAGCAACTGAATTGGGTTGGTATAAGTACTAAATCATACAAATCAAAGCATTTCATAGTGAAATTTTGCATATTTTAGACAAATTTTTTGTTAATATTTTGCCTACTTCCAATGTGAATGTTCTTATCTATTATCTAATTTTTCTGCATGATTTTTGGACTAAATTTTCTGTGGTGTGAACATGACAAATTGTTATAATTTTTTTAAAAAAGAACTATTAAAAATGAACCCATGGTGCTCCTTTTCCACGCCATTTTCATACTTCTAGAGTGAACTTGTGACTTCCATAGTCTTTATTCCTAAAGAGTAAAAATTACCTATTTTTGGGCACACAATAGAGAGGACTGGGCATTGTGCTTAGGTTAAGTGCTGGCACATGACACCGAAAGGCTCTATGGATCTACAAGAAGAGAATTGCCTCCATGTGTTCAGACCAGGCAGCCTCCCTCCTACTCTGACCTCTGGTGACCAGATGACCACACTAGCAGAGAAAGTTAGGTGTTGAAAGCTTGGTATGGTGGTGCAGAGGCAGGCGGATCTCTGAGTTCAAGGCTGCATAGTGAGAACCTGCCGCAATAAATAAATAAATAAATAAGAAGAAAGAAAATCAACTTGAATGGCTCTCACAGTTACCTCCGTCTTGAATTATTTTCCACAGAGAAGGCACTGTGACTCAGACCCTGTAGTGTTAGCTTGGAGCTTGATTAATGTTCCATGGCAGCATTGACAATCAGAGAATTCCCCCCAGGCTGTTAAACTGACCAGACTCATGATTTCATAACCAGGCTTGGAATGGGTGGCTAATCAGGGAAAGATAATGAAATGGATATTATTGAGTTGGTTTGAGTAGGTTTTAAATACTAGAAGAAAGCACTAAAGGGAAATATTAGGCTACACTGAGAAACGTGTAGGTTTGACTTGAAGAGTGAGACAATCAAATCCTAGGTTCTACCTGCCTGTGAGCCTAATAACCATTGTTCAATGTCAGTTAATAACAACCAGATTCTCTGCTTATACAGATGTCCTCTCGTGTTTGCCTCTCTCTTTTAGTCTTTAAAACATTATTGTGTCCCTCCTTGACTGTCCTACAGTGTGGCTTCTATGAAGTAGAATGTTTTAAGAAGAGTGCCTATATGAACTTGATCAAAATGTACCTATGTAAAAATTGTTGAATTGAGAGAATTTGGGCAAAAATAATTATGTAGATGGTTATTAAAATAACAGCCGACATCAGACTGTCGTGTTGAGGTTCTTCTCTCCTGCAGCTCTGGGAACTATGGCAGTCCATTGATGAGAATTATGTTTCTCTCCATTTGGCCCTCTGAACCCTTTCAAAAACTTACTCTTTGATTCTGGGAAATGCTAATGGGTGTGTATGAATGTTTGCCTGCATGCATGTGTGTGCACCACGTGTGCAGAGGTCAGACAAGGGCCTCTAATTCCCTGGAACTGAAGTTAGAGATGGTTTGAGCCATGTCTGAGTGCTAGGAACTGAACCAGATTTTACAAGGCAGCCAGTGTTTTTAACCGCTGAGCCATCTCTCCAGGCCCTATTGTTCATTTTCAATGCCCCCCTACTCCCTTGGGTTTTGTGGGGATTGTTATTTTCTTTTAATGAAGCTCTAACTGTTCAGATGTTAGACCCCCCCCATGACCTCCCACACTTTATTTTGCTCATTTCCCCATGTCTGTTATTAACTTTTTGAGATGTTTCTTCAACTTTATTTTGCAGTCTTTCTAACCCTTTTCCTGACTACTTTCATACTTAAAGTTTTCAAGAGCTTTTTCAGATTTCCTGAATGTTACTTTTCCCAGTGGACAAAAGAAGTCATTGATTCCCACCCCTACTCCTGAAAGTCAGCCTTGCCTTACAGAGAAGATCGTCAACTCAATAACATTTAGTCATGGATGCTAGCACACAGCCCTCGCCTGGATGAAGGGCAGTTCTCACCTTTGGCTTCAGCCGTGTTGTCCATCATGTTGGGGAAAGTGTGACAGCTGGTCGTTATGCCGTCCACACTCAGGAAGCAGAAGACAGTGCATCACAGCTGGGCCATCTGGAAGGGACCCAAGGCAAGGAAAACCTAGCCATCTCTTCCTTACCTACTGTTCCTTTAATAGTTGGGGACGCCTTCCTCCAAGAAAAACAAAACACAAAACTAGTCTTCTGCTTGTTCCCAGAAAACTATGTGGTCACTTTCAAAGAAATGACTCAGCAATCTGAAGAGCCCAGCCCAAAGGATTGGCCCACTCTCCACTGTAGCATTGAACATTCTCAGAGTCTAGTCAGACCTTCAAGGCCGGCACTGTTGAGGGATGAAGAGTGGGTGGTTGCATCCCCGCCACACACATACACACTCATCCCCTCCTGGTTGGTAGGAGCAGGACAGAGGATTGAGCTGGCCCCCTGTCCTGAGGTAACGGCACAGCCTCCAGTAGCCTACTGAATATGTGGACTGCCTTTTTTTTTTTTTAAAGATTTATTTATTATGTATACAATGTTCTGTCTGCATGTGTGCCTACATGCCAGAAGAGGGCACCAGATCTCATTACAGATGGTTGTGAGCCACCATGTGGTTGCTGGGAATTGAACTTAGGACCTCTGGAAAGAAAGTCAGTGCTCTTAACCTCTGAGCCATCTCTCCAGCCCCTGAACTGCCCTTTCTAGACAGCTGCAGGCATGGATTGTTGTCTTCCTGTTGCACAGGGTGCCCCCTTCCATCACTGGACCCTGCAAGTGAGTCTGGAAAGGGCTCTAGTTGACTGCAGATGTTCCGTATCCTTGTCTGTTATCAGTGAGAACTGAGGTATATCCTACTCACATTGTCTACTGTCTCTCATGCCCCTGCCACAGCCCCCTTATGTTTATGCCGTACATGCGAGGCACACTTATTCCCCAACCGTGAGTTCCACCATTGGACTACACACTCGGCTCGATCAAGGGGCTCACAGCACTAGAAGCTCTTCAAGAAAATAGGGCTGGAGCAGAGTGAGTTTCAAATCAGTGGTAGAGCACTTGTCTAACATCCCCAGGACTGAAAAGCGTCCATCAATTCCCTTGCATCATTTTCGTTCTCAACTCATATTCTTAAAAAGTGTGTGAGAAGTTCTAGGAAAAAACATGCTCTTTCCAGCTGCTTTGAGAACTCCAAGGACTGGTTTTCTTTGATGTCTGTTTGTACCAAAGAGTGTTGACTGGATATTCTGGTACATAAGCAATCAGGCACTGTATAGATGCAGAGATCAAAGGACAGCTACTGTGCAGGTCCTAACTCCTAAGCTGGTTTAAAGGGATCAAATGGAAGAGACCATTTCCAGAGAGAGTGAATTCAGCCCAGCACCAGTGCATGGAGCCCTCAGCAGCCAAGAGGATGTCACTGTCTCCAAAGAGGTAATGTCAGCCTGCTTGAAGAATGGGATCTGCATGAGAGACGGATGACTAGACCTTCAAACACAGGCTCTGATAGGGGGTCCAAAATGGGTAAAGAAAGCTGCCATCAACATTTCGGAAAAGGGCTGTGTGAGCGTGTGTAATAAAGCCTTGTGGCCCGTGGAGACAAGGCTGTGTGTGTAATAGTATGTATGCATAGTGAAGTTTTGGGTACCCAACATGAGGAGCAGTTCTAGTGTTGTGGCTACGGGTGCGGGGGGGGGGGGCTGTGCTCAGTGAGATGGTATGTGTACAGTTTTGTGGATCCGTGGGAGGTTTGTGTATACAGTGGGAATTTGTTAGAGGCGTGTGCATGTACTTCTGCAGCCCCTTCCCTCAGGAGGATATGTAATGTTGCATGGGCTCTAAAAGCACAAAAACTGGTCTTTCTGTACGGGTTTCAGTGCTGTATTTGGGGATATTTGCATCCCCAGCCCCAGTGCTCTTGGGAGACACCCTCTGGCTGTTTTAGCCACCTGAGGGTGCATAAATTGAGGAGTCAGAGGAGACTGGGAGAACCTGCCTGGCCCACACACTGCAAAACTAAGGGCCAGCAGAGGCTCCTGATAAAAAGAAGGAACTCTGCTAAAGGGAGGATAGCTTAAGTGGCCATCTGATAGATTCTCTCCCCACTGCCCCCCCTTATCTAAAAACCCCCAAATTTAGAAGATCAAGAGAAAAATTTCTCCAACACTTCATCTTTTTCTTTATTCTATTACAACTTTTTTCTTTATTCTTTTGGTAGTAACTTATTTGTTTTAGAGGCAGGGTCTCACTGTGTAGCTTTTGCTATTCTGGAAATTACAGAATTTTGCCTGCCTCTACCTCCAGATTGCTCGGATTATAGTGTACCACTATGCCTGGCAACTTTATCTTTTAAAAGCTTTTATCAGGCTGGAGAGATGGCTGAGGTTAAGAGCACTGATTGTTCTTCCAGAGGTCCTGAGTTCAATTCCCAGCAACCACATGGTGGCTCACAACCATCTGTAATGAAATCTGGTGCCCTCTTCTGGCCTGCAGGCATACATGCAGACAGAACAGGGTATACAAAATAAATAAATAAATCTTAAAAAAAAAAAAAAAGCTTTTATCCAGCTCTCAGGAGCCTGAGGCAGGAGGCTCACTACAGTTTGAGACAAACCTGGGATATATAATGAATTCTCAGGCAACCTGGGTGAAAGGCTGAAACTGCTGGAGGAGAGCATAGGAAAATTGCTCCAAGATAAGACCAGACAAGAACTCCATATATATATATGACAAGAATTGACGAATGTGGGCTTGCTAGAGAGATGGCTTAGTGGGTAAGAGTACTTGCTGTGCAGAACTAAGGATCAGAGTTCCAATCCCCAGCACCCACATAAAAGCTGGGTTTGACCGCATGTTCCTGTTACAGATTATGGTCCTTCAAGCAAAACAACTCCCGCCCTCATTAGGTTAGCAACATATGCTTGCAAGAGTCCATCATGATTAGGCTTGTCAACTGTTGACATTTTTTCATAGGAGGGGAGGGTCACTGAACCTTCACCTGAGGTTCCAGTTACTTCTCCCAGACATTTGTATGCAATTCTGCCCTCATTACAAGTGGCCTTTGCCTCTTGCAAGATGCTAGGGTATATGGGCCTGAGAAGATTAACTGAGATGGGATCCCATCTGTGTGCCTGTGGGAAAGCCAGCATCCATGCTGACTGAAGACTTTCTAAGTGCAGCTGCTTTGGGGCGTCACCCAGACTCCTCCAGTAACCCCTTTCCCATGCTCTGTGCATAAGCTCAATGCACTCTCTGGCTTCCTAGGGTGAACTTGGGCAGAATAGTACTTTGGCTTACTGTTGGGACTTTATGATGAGGATGTAGAAGCTGTTTCTGTCTCACCAGAGGAGGGATTTTCACAGCAGTGCCTGTAAACCCAGCCTTGGGATGAAGACAGGGGACCATGGGCCAGCCAGCCTCGCTGGAAGAGAGAGCTCACATGCAATGAGTGACCTCGTCTCAAGAGAACAAAGTGGACAATGAGAGGCAGGGCACTTGAGGTCTTCCTCAGGCTTCCTCAAATGTGCATGGGTGTGTGTGTGTGTGTGTGTGTGTGTGTGCATTTGTGTGTATGCTCATGTGTGCAGACACAATTGATAATTGGAAATGCATGAAACTGAAAATCCTCAAAGAAAGCAGTCATCAGAGTGAAGAGACTGCTCACAGGATGGAAGCAAATTCTCTGCCTATGGTGCATCTGGCAGTGGAATCATTTCTATATGAGGAACTAATAAATAAACAAAAGAATCCAAGCAATAAGTGAGGAAATTAATTGGATAGTTTAAAAGAAAAAAAAATAATGGCCAGTAAACAGATGTGAGAAAAGTACAACATCCTTAGCTGTCGGGAGCAATGCCAGTTGAGAGTACATTTCATTGTAGTTGGAATTATATTTAAAAAATAAAAATAAAAAACAAGCAAAGCCAGGCATGGTGGAAGTGGAGGTTCAAGAGTTCAGTGCCATACTTTGCCTCATAGTAAGTTCAAGGCCAGCTTGTGCTATGTGAGACCCTGTCTCAAAATAAAATAAAGATAAGTAAATATTCTAAAAGAAAGGGGGGGAAAAAAGGAAAGAAAACATAATGCGTGTTGGTATTCCTCTACACTGTTGGTAGGAATTTAAATGGGTGCAGCCTCTACGGAGGTTCCTCAAGAATCTGAAAACAAAGCTGGATGTGGCAGTGCACACCTGTAATCCCAGCATTTGAGGCAGAGGCATGAGTATTTCTGTGAGTTTGAAGCCAACCTGGTCTCATAGGTAGTTCCAGGTGAGACC